AACAGTAGTTGGATATAGGCTCTGACACAAATAATGGTTGTAAAGAAAAGATATATAAAATATATTCTTCTTGTTCTCTTCCTATGTATCTGAAGAATATATATATTTCTTCTTAAAAGATTCCTTTTCCTGCCCCTTTATCTAAACTAAAGTATTTCTCAAGGCTCTGCCTCAAGTCCTACTTTGTAATAACTTTATCTACTCTCTCCTAAAGATCTCTTTCAGGCTTAAGAAATAAAATTTAATTTCCATACAGGTGACTTTCCAAAATCATTAGCATGGAAACCCTGTAGGAATTGGAATAATAATACAACACTTTGTTGCATATTATTGCCTATCAAAATACATCATGAACTTCATCATACTTAACTTTTATATAGAAATTTTGTGAAGTTAATGTTATTTCAGTTAATTAACAACAAGCAGTTATTGGATACACCAAACACAATTATAAGTTCATCTCACACTTTTAAGGAGTATAATTATAGTGTTAGATGCCAACTTACATATTTGTTGGACACAAATGAAGGACATATGACTAAAGGGCCTATTCAGTTATTTACCACTATTTTTATTGACTTTGTCCTGCTTTAGTTATTAACAATATCCATGATCATCCTAAAAAGTGCATTAGTTGGAAGGATAAATTTTTATTAAAGCTGCTGATGTAGGTAATATGTTTTGTTTTTGTACAAATGAGATACTGAGATGCTGAGATTGTAAGGTACTTGTTATAGTTCACACTTACAAAAATTAGAACTTGAATTTGGGCCTTTAGATTTCTAATCCAAACTGTTTCTCATATGCCATGATTGACTTTCTCCTAGGAGAATGTTTGAATTTGAGTTGAATCTTTTAGGAAGCCTGTATCAATTTCTCTTCTGGGCACAGCACTAAATAACTATTTTAAGTCTCATCTCCATGTATTTTTTGATGTCACAAACCTGTCTGGAGATATATATATACATACACACATATGTGTGTGGTGGGATCAACGCACTGGACTGTAAGGTTTGTTTGAACAATAAAGTTTAAGAGGTGTAACTGACTCCATGGTACTTAACAATATATAAATATATATGTACATATATATACATATATAAAACACATAAATTAGAAAGAAAAAAAATCCTAGTGAAGAAAATTGCAATCTTAAATAATAATATTTTTATAAGATAATTTTTAAGTTCCTTTTTTTCAGTTTTCATCTTAATGTAAATAATATTAAATCCATATATTATACATATATGAGCAGGAATATGGTGTATTTCACCTTGTTTACCACTGATGTCATGTACTAGAAGAATTCATATTTTGCTGTGTTTTAAAAGGTGTGGAAGAATGATTGCATGGTGGGAAGCTGGGGTAGGCATTATTATCCATCTTCTCTGCCATGTGATTTATTTTGTACCTCAGTATAAATCAGGGGAAAACTATATAGGTGTCCAGGGACAGGTTCTTAACACTTTCTCCAAATTGTGGAATTTTTAGCATTAGTTATGTTCATGAAAGTATTGTCAGTACAAGAGTTTAGTTTTTGGTTTTTGACTCTTCCCTAAAGGAGTAAATCACAGTTGATAGGTACCTCTTATATATATGACATTATATTAAGTTTGGAGTCCTGGTATGGTGCTATAGGATAAATACTGGACTGCAAGGTTGATTTGAACTACAAGGTTAATGGTTCAAACTACCAGCTGCTCTTTGGAAACCAGTACAAAGTCACTATGAGTCAGAACCAATTCAACAGAACTTAACAACAAAAACATATATTAGGTTTACATACTGCCTTTTCTCATTTAATCCCTCGAGCAACTCTCAGAGGGTGATATCATTTCTATTTTACAAATAAGTTAGATGAAACACAGCGAAGTAAAGTAACAAAATAGTAGACAAAAAAAGCAGGATGTCAAACCAAATCTGCCTGGCTCTAAATTTTTGCCTTTTCTTGTCACCATCCTCTTACTTTGTCCACCAGACATAACAACAGAATTCTCAGTCTTTCCCGGGTTTACATTACAATAATATCTTCTCATTACTTCATTTTGATTTTCAACATCCTACTATGATTTTACTATATATTTCGTTTTTCATTGGTTAATATTTTCATAGTTTACATTAATTAATTTACATTTTTTCTCCCTCTATATTTATAGGTTAAAAGTCATTTATTGCACGCCACTTTTTTTTCTGTTGTGTTATTCAAAATATTTTCCTGGATATATGTCAGAATGTCTTCTTAGTAATCATCCTGATCATTGAACTTTACAGAAGTTGTTCAGAAATACACAGGATGCCTATGTAATGCACTGCTTATCTGTAGGGCTATCCAGTAGCCATGCAAACTTTCATCAATACCTTCATCAGTTACGTAAACTGGCTTCAGAGATTTCAGGTCTGGATGGTCCCTAATACGTGGAGGATAAAGTAAAATGGGGGACAAGAAAGAGAAAGATTTAAAAATTACTGATTTTGCCTCAATGAAGAAACTCCCAAAGAACCCCAAAACTTAAATGGAATCTTTATAGATTTAATATTGCAAAAACATAATAGCAAAGGAAATGAATTTCATTAAGATAACTATCTAAATCTAGTGTTTGTTGTTAAGCACTGTCTATTTGTTTCTTAGTCATAGCGACTGCGTATGGGGATTCCGAGGAACTGCTGGTGAGTTTGAACCGCCAACCTTATGGTTCAAACTGACCTTGCAGTCAAGTGTTTATCACACAGCATCACATCAGGACTCTAAATCTAGTACTTACAGTTGTATAAACAGTTTTTGCCTTATTTAAAAAAAAATAGTGCTTTATCACTAATTCACCTTCTCATCTTTTTTATTTTTGCTACTGAATGTTCCACTAATCGTGATGTTTACATTTTCCTTCTGGTCAGGGAAGTCCATTATCTTCCTCTAAACCTTTGTCCACACTTCCCACTCACTTTTCCCTCCATCAGGAATCAATTAGCCTTAATAAATAATTATGAAGATATTCAAGACTCATCCTATTTTTCCTCAATTTGGAGTGAGTTATTATACATTTCAATGAATATCTAAGTCAAAAGCTGGCTTACTAAAACCATTGCTTTCCTGGGCTAATCAAACAGTTTTAAAACAATCTAAGGACAAAAGGAATAATTTCAGAATATTCAAAATTTCTATTCAGTTAAACATATTCATGGTTGTTGTATAGTGGTAATAATAACTATGTTTTCTTCATGGAACTCAGAGTTCAAGTATATCTGTAAATTAACTTTCAACTTTTCTTCATTCATTTATTCAAAAAATGTTAAATGCCAACCATTCACAGGTACTGAGACAAATGTTGCAGATTCAATGACAATTTATGCAGTCTTTTCTTTCAGAGACCTTACAAACTAATAGGTGCTGAATTAAATTCCACCAGATTTTTCTGTTAGTATCTGAGAAATACTAACCTACGTACTACATCCATCTCGCTTGAGATATCAAAGAGATTGTCCAATGATTTCCGCATTCTGTTGGGTCACCTCTCTTTGGAATGGGCATAAATATGGCTCTCTTCCAATCAGTCGGCCAGATAGTTGTTGTCCAAATTTCTTGGCAGAGATGAATGAGTGCCTCTTGTGCCACCTCACTTTCTTGAAAGATTTCAATTTTTATTTAATCAATTCCTGGTGCCTTGTTCTTTGCCACTTCTTTCAATGCACTTTGGACTTCCTCTGTATCATTGGCTTTTGTTCATATGGTACCTCTTGAAATGGTTGAACATTAACCGTTTCCTTTTGGTACAATGACTCTGTGTATTCCTTCCATCTTTTCTTGAAGCATTTTGCATCGTTCAACAATTTGCTCAGAGAATCTTTCAATAACGAAAGTCGAGGCTTGAATTTTTTCTTCAGATGGTACTGACAACAGCAACAACTACATCCATGATTTTTTAATAGATGATATTATCGGTCAGTAACACTGTGAGGTATAAAATAGGATCAGAGAATTGCAGATAGATCGAAGGGCAATTGTACTTATATTTATACTATGTTCATATACTTGGAATCCTAAAAAAATTGGAAGTGGAAACATCATTATCATCTCTTTTAGATGGAAAATCAAAAGCTAGCTTTCACTCAAGCATTGTAAACAGAACTGACAGTATATACCATACAGCTCTTGTAGATTCACAGTCTTAGAATACTCAGTGCTTTAATTTTTTTAATAAAACAAAACTAGGAAACACACACACAGTTTCAGGATAAAACATACTTTAAGGATTAGAAATTCCAACTGTTAGTGAGATTAAACATCTTGTCTCTACATCTTTATCTTTATACTTAAGAGATGACTTCACTAAAGTTTTCAACCTATATAATATTACTTAGCTGCACACCTCAAAACAGTGTAAAAGCTTAAAATAATAAATACATTTATAACAATTTGTTTTCTGCCAAATGAACATCATTAAATAAGAAATGTTCAATCTAGGATAACATCCATTTTGAAAAATATTAATACACCTACCCAAGTCCTCATGCTCATCACATTGTATCATAATTAATTTAGTTTTATCAGAGGTGTGGATACCCAAACCACCTTTTGATGAATATTTAGAATGTTTAACCCCATCTGTGAGAACTGGTCTGAAAAAGAAGCAGATGTCTCTTTCTGGTTAGTCTATTTTAGGGTGTCCATTGTTGTCATTAATTAAATCATATGTACTTGCTTATTATTAAGATCTTTATTATTAAGATCTTTCTTAGCCCATCTAGTATTTTTTTCATGTGTTACTGCTTAATTTTTCTTTGTATCCAGCAAAATTTCATTATGGAATATGCTATTTCAGGTATGAAGGTTTCCTTTACTAGTCCTTAAGTGCCTTTGGCAGACCATCTAACTCTAAATTTAGTATCACGTTTATGTTTTAAAAACAATTGTACAGAAAAAAATGTATTGGTGTTGTGTCTATCACAATCTGTATTCATGTTTTCACATTTTCTGTCTCTACCCAGACTACTCTTGCAAAGACATGAGGAATCACACAGAGGTAAGTGAATTCATTCTACTGGGAATACCTCAGACCAAGGGACTGGAGATGGTGCTCTGTGCCATCTTCTTGTTCATCTACCTCTTCACCTTACTTGGCAATTTACTAATCCTCACAGCCATCATTTCTTCCTCTAAACTTCACACCCCCATGTATTTCTTCTTAGGACTCCTATCTACACTTGACATATTTTTCCCTTCAGTAACTTGTCCCAAGATGCTTTTCTATCTCTCTGGTCAAAGCCAAGCCATCTCTTATAAGGGGTGTGCTGCACAGCTTTTCTTCTATCACTTCCTGGGTTCTACTGAAGGCTGCCTCTACTCTGTGATGGCTTATGATCGCTTTGTTGCCATCTGTCACCCACTGAGATATATGCTTATCATGAAACCTGGGGTTTGTATGGGTTCTGTCATAGGGACCTGGTTGGTGGGTGCTCTTCATGCCACCATACTGACCTCCTTAACCTTTAATTTAAACTACTGTGGCCCCAATCAGGTGGACTACTTCTTCTGTGACATCCCTGCTGTCATACCCCTGGCTTGTTCTGACAACTCCTTTGCCCAGTGGATGGGATTCATTAATGTTAGCCTTCTGGCCTTAATGCTTTGGTTCAGTATTTGTGTTTTCTTCACTCATATTGGGATTGCCATTTTGAGAATCCATTCAAAAGAAGGTAGGCAGAAAGCTTTCTCTACCTGCAGTGCCCATCTCACTGCAATACTCTGTGCCTATGGACCTGTAATCATCATCTATCTGCAGCCCACACCCAAACCATTACTTAATGCTTTGGTGCAAATACTAAATAATATTGTCTCACCCATGCTGAACTCATTAATTTATTCCTTAAGGAACAAGGAAGTGTTTTCACTAAGAAAGGTATTCTACAATATAGTACTTACTCTTCAGGAATAAATTATATGTTTAAAAATGGATTTAAAAAGCACATTGACTTTTAGGATAGTTCCACTTTTTACCTCTTTAAATAGTTACTTGTACGTGAACAATGCAGATGTTTTCTCTGAAAACACTATATTGTGTTTGCCTAGTAGATTTTTCTTTTTGTGTCCCTCGGTAACTCCCATTACTCCACAAAGAGCTCTGTTTCTTACTTTATTTCCTGTACCTTATGCCTGAAGGAGAAATCCAAGTAGCATAGCAAGCAGCTAGTGACAGATTTCTTAATCCTACAACCAGTATCTACTTTTGCCTGGCTATAGATAGTGAAGGTCTGTAGCACTCCAAAAAGTACTCTTCAGTTAACCCTTTATGTGCCAAATCACCTTTGATTACTTTTTTTTTGCTCCATTGGAAATGCAAATGTTCCCCTTGTTTTCAGCTTGTAAAAATTTTACTTTCTCTGTATTGCTAAGAATCATATTAACTATAAGTTATTATTAACCACAAATTAGTATTAACTAATACTATCCATGATGATTGTGAAGATGGTGCAAGACTAGGCCATGTTTCCTTCTGTTGCACTTAGGGTCATTTTAAGTGAGATCTGAATTTGATTTTGTTGAAGAGAATGTTAAAGGTTAGAGACTTTAAATAACAGACCCAAGGTTATACATTAAGCAACATTGCAGATTGAACTCACAACTAGCTCACTGCAAAATCCTTGCTCTCAATCCCTCTACCAGTCAGTTCCCCTAAAAGTCCCAGAAAGCGTTTCTTCCTCCAGAGCCTAGAATATTTCATAATATTGCATCCAGTAAATAACTGGTGGAAAACACAAGTCATGTTTATTAATTCCTATTCTATCATCTCCATTTTCTCTGTTCTACTACTCATTATATGGACGCTGACGATAAAATACAGCAACACATTTCTTTCCCTGTGTAACACCTGCTGTCTTTGTAAAACCCCACCTTCACCCAAGGTCTCTTAACTCTTACTCTCATAGTTTCTACTTCACCATGTTGTCCATATCCCAAATTATTTCTTAGTGTAAAAGAAGTAAGAGAGTCTGCTCTTACAGTGGTGCTTGAAGAGAAGATGCTAACTATGGGCTTCAGTCAATCTACCAAGTTACATTTCTAACTTGACTGTAACAATGCTGGAGTTGATTATTATTCTCAATTTTCTCCAAAATATAGGAAAGAAGAAGAAGTGCACATTGTGGCATAGATTAGTGATCTGGGGTAGAATATGTGGGTTCTATGGCATCTCTTAACTTGACTGATAGACTCTAGATCACACAGAATCTTATTGTCACACTTTGGGAAACCAATAATAATTTGCTACTGTATTTAAAGCTAGATAATTGTGGAAGAATTCACATGTCATGATATATGCCAGTCTGTATGATGTCTATGGGCAGGCATTCATTACACTGATTAATAATTTGCTCAAGTGTAGAAAGAACAGGGAATGTGTGAAACCCACTCTGAGGCAGTTCTCAAACCAATGAATACCTTGATGAGAACTGCAAGGAAAACCTTGCATGCCAAAGATTGTGGGAGCAAAACACACTGACCAGATGGCTTGGAGCATAATCTAAAATGAGGAGGAAATATGTGTATCTAACTGTTATCTAGTAATAATAAACTTTGTTGTGGTTCCCAGATATACTTCCTGCCTAAGATTGTACTTAAAGTTGTGTTGCAGGTAATAAAGTTACTCTTGATTGACAATCCTGAGTCCCCTGCCACTTTCATTCCCTGTCCACCTCCGGAGACCCCCTCACACAGGCTGGTTCTTGCACTCAATGATTTCCTTACTGGAATATTAAAAATTTCAGTAGTACAGGAATTTAGCTTCATTCATTCACTGCTTATTAAATGAACAATAAATTAATGGCCAATAAATGATCATATAACTACATATTTATTAATATGGAAACAAACAAACAAAAAAAAGAGTGGAATATTTAGTGCATATAACAAAGCAAACCCAAAATCAAGTGTATATCCCCAACTTGGCAGAGCTGAAGACACATAAAATCAAAATATGAATGAACAAAGTCCTTTTTTTGGCCCCTTCTAAAAATAAGTATTATAATATCTGTCTAGCATCAAAATTAAAACACACACACACAAAAAAAACCCTTAAAGACAAAATTTTAATTTAATTAGTTTAAAGATTTCCAATAGGTAACATTTAGTTACCTAAACCCACTCTATCAAGTCGATTCTAACTCAGAGTTTTCCTACATTGACCTTCTAAGGCTGTAATTCTTTACAGAAACCGAAAGTCTCCTATTCCTATTGTGGAGCCTTTGGTGGATTCTAACTGTTGACCTTGTGATCAGCAGTCCAATGCCTACTAACACACTAGCCATTGAACTCTACCAGCACCGAAAAGCAGATATCATATAAAACACACACCAAAATAACATGCTGCCATCTATTCAACTCTGACTCATGCAACCCCATGTGTTACAATGTTGAACTGCTCCATGACCAACCCAGATCATGCTTTGTGAGGTGCAAGCTTAAACAGAGCTAGATTAAAAAGAAATAAGGGTTTATTTTAGTTGATCAAGCAATGACTAAATCAAGACTAAGTCACCAATAAAAGTTCCCTGGTTTCAGGGTGGGAAGCTTATGTATATACATAGATCAGGAGGAAAAGCTTTGTTATATACATAGGTCAGGGAAAAGAGGAAGATCCCCCAAGAAAATTATGAATATGTGATGGACTATTGAGAAATAGTGATAAATATGCACTGGGGTGTGGTCTTGAATTCTGACACAGAAACAGTCCTTGGACTGTTCTTCTAAATGTAGTCTGAAATTTTCACATGACATATTTCAGGGAAATTTTTGTTCCTTGACCAAAGTTTCTTTCTTTCAGAGTCAGTAAAATTTGTTCAGATCACATCTGTCTAGCAGGCCATATCTGGTTGAGACTTGCATTATCTTTGTCTTCACCAGGACCCACTGTGGAGGGAGTATTTTCTTGGTAGGTTGAAAGACAACAGAAAGAATACATTAATTATAAACTACAACATATTGTTTTTAGCATTCTGTTGCCTAATTTGTCAGGACAATGGGGTAAGCCCTACTAAGCAACTAATAAATTTTTAAAATGCTAAAGCATTAAGGGAACCTATAAATTAATTATAAGTAATTAGTGGGGTATATTGTTTTAACATCTGGCTGCCATGGTCGTCAAGACAAGGGATAGTGTCTGTTAAACAAATAATATGAAATTCTAAATGATTATGCCAGCCTATGGAGTCTCAACAACAATCCCCCATGATAAGAACTGCTATGAGAAGCCAATCAATTGAATAGAAGTTTCCTCAGGAGTATGGCCTGATTTCAATATATTGGACACTCAAGAAGTGCTTGCTTGCTTTTTTATTTTTGCTGGGGCTAGATTCTGCATCGGGCTTGTCATCCCACCTCCAGTTCTTTAGACTCTAGCCAGTGGCCTATTGTGTTGCCTGGGAGCCATTGGTAGCCTATTATGAACCTGATGACCTTGGAATCATTCACCTGTGCAGCCAGAAGTCTGCAGTTCCACCTGCTGATCTTAGGTTCATCCGTTCCAGCAGCTCCAGTAGTCAAAAGCTTATAGCCTGACTTGGAACTTGTTCTTCTCTACAACTACTACTGTTGGGCCATGTCTTTGATAGAAATCTCACTCTTTCTTACTCTCTCTCTCACTATATAAATAAATTATATATATATATATATATATATATATATAGTTGTTAAGTGCCACCGAAGTGGTTCCACCTCATAGCGACTCTGTCTAGGGTTTTTTCAAGGAGCAGCTGATACGTTTGAACTTTCAAAATAAATTATAGTCTGATGTCATCAAATGAACCAGGCCTTAAACCACATATATTCTCAGTAACTTTTCTCTGACCTAGTGTTGCAACCATTTATCTTTTTTTCCTTGTCAATCTTCTATGATCTTCCTTATTTGTCACCCTAAATGAGCTAGGGTTTCCCCCAATTAATTTTCCCAAGGCAGCTCAAATTGTTTTTAATATACTCTCTCTCACTCACCCTAATGAGATTTTCTGATAAAATACTATAGAGTGTCACTCAAACTTGAGTCTATGTGGACAGTCTTCCTCTTTTCTGATGAAATTGGAGGCATCAGGACCTATAATAATGGAGTTACCAGTCATAGGAAGAAGGACAGCAAAACCAAAGGAAACTATTAACAATATATATTGAAATAGTGGCTGCAACAAAGGTTTCAACATAACCAAAGCTTGCAAGCATGGTGCAGGAGTGAGCAGTGTTGCATTTATTTCTGCTTAGCGTCACTGTGAGTCAGAACTGACTCAGCAACTAATAACAACAGTAAGAAACATATTTTATATATACCCATTAAAAATGCATTTTATTCAATATTGTGCTGGAAGTCTTAGCCAGAGTAATGAGGCAACAAAAGGAAATTTATGGCATCCATATTAGCAAAGAAGAAGTAAAACACTATTTACAGGAGATAAGTTCCTATACATAGAAAATTCCAAAGAATAAACAAGAAAATTACTGGAACAAATTGAGAGATTCAGAAAAGTGACTGGGTACAAGATAAACATGCAAAAATCACTTGGATTACTTAATACTAGCCAAGAGAACTGTAACAAGGAAATCAGGAAAATAATACCCTATGTTCTAGACATCCAAAGATAAACCACACAGGAATAAGTCTAACCAGAGAAACAAAAGACCTATACAAAGAAAACCACAAGATACTTGTACAATAAACTACAAGAGATCTATATACATGAAAGCATATACCATGCTCATGGAATAGACTGAGATCTTATCATCATTTTTTAAAGAGATAGAAAAATGTATCACCAGTATTATATGGAAAGGAAGGAGACCCCTGGTATGCAAAGAACTACTAAAGAAGAAGACAAAAGTAGGAAGTTTTTAAAACACTTCCTGATCTCAAAATCTACTACACAGCCACAGTAGTCAAAACAACCTGGTACTGAT